GTTATTGCAAATTTGGCAGGATGATCCAACAGTTCTTTTTTATTTTCTTAAACATCTTGCCCACTGGGACTAATTGTGGTATCTGTGGTGACTGTTCGTCTGTTTATCATTTATAATTTACATAGAGATTTTTGATAAATAAGTCATTTTGCTGTTTTTCTGTCATTTTTCACTGTTTAGCTTATTTATTTACTGTTATGCATTTGTGACATTTTTGCTATATATAGTAGGTACACTGGTATATAGACTGTATAAACAAATGTGCCCAATGGGACAATAAACCTTGAATTAAATAGCATTTTTCAACACTACACTACATGTTCTAGATTCTACAATTACAATTATACAATAATTGTTCATGACTAGCAGTGAATAGGTTTCATGCAAAATATGTTTAGTTTCCCAAACATTCGTGTCGAAGTAGGACATTTGTACTGGTTAGTTTCTACTTTATAAATGTTATGGAATAGTATATTCTTTTTTATAAAGCTCAATGTTTAATTTATTGATTATCTTCCAGCACAGCCATCTGAAATTATAGAAAATTATGTTGTTTTTTCTGTGTTTTAAAGCACAATAATTGCTTACACTTGCATAGTGCCTTTCTGGACACTCCACTCAAAGTGCTTTACAAGTATTGTGGACTCCTCTCCACCACCACCAGTGTATTGCACCCATCTACTGTAGATGATGCAACGGCAGCCAAAGTGCACCAATACACTCACCACACATCTACGGGGAGGAGAACATGAAGTAATGAAGACAATTTGTAGATGGGGATTATTAGGAGGCCATAATAAGACCACATAAGACCACAGGGTGAGCACCCCCTACTGGCCCCACTAACACCACTTGCAGCAGCAACCTTAGCTTTCCCAGGACGTCTTCCATCAGGTACTGACCAGGCTCATACCTGCTGAGCTTCAGTGGGTTGCCAGTTGAGAGTTGCAAGGTGATATAACTGCTGGCTAGTGTTTATTAGCTAAACTGCTATTAGCTATGTGTGCCTTTGCTTGACTGTATAATAGTGTGCAGTATACAAGCCTGTAAATCACTTTATCCAAATTCATCACACAAGGATAACTTTTGCAACAGACTTCAAAGTCAGAAGAATAAAAACATAAAAGATCTAATGTAAAAATGTTGTTGAAGAAGTTATGTTATGATAATGACCCCTAAATGTAAGAACAATTCTTGCTTACTGTATGTATGCAACTACAAAGATGAGTAGCAAGTATAACTTTACTTGATATTACTTTTACTATTATTAGTAATATTAATATTATTTATTAACAAGTATTTTTCTCAAGGTGGAAAACATCTCATTCATTTCAAAAACGCTTACTGTTATTGTGTAATTCTGCTGCCTCCTCTCATTGTGTGCTTTTTTCCTGTAAAGCATTTTGAGAAATCACTTCTAAAGGTGCTATAACAAAATCTATTATTATTACAGAGATTTTCCTGGCCAGGAGATGAGGCGTTTTCAGTTCTCAAATTCTTAAAAATAAACGGCCTCATAACCACCACTTTCTGCTCCTTGGAAGAACTCACTTCTCTTGGATCCCTTTGGAAAGCCTCCTCTTTCTCCCTAGCCAGGATGACAGCCAGCGGTTAAAGAAGCCTGTGCTCTGGGGTAACTCAGAGTAGCCTGGCCATGGGACATCAGCCACCAGCACTGGGTGACTTTGCCCTGCAGTGGGACAAACCACAGACAGCAAACACGCAGTTAAGATTGTCTACATGCCAATTAAGAGGAATGTATCTAAGATCGAATTTGGATCTTTCACAAAATTTCCAGCGATTTCAAGATTTTTCAAGAAGTAACGCAGCTCTGCTCCCCTAATCATATGTGAGACAGAGTGGTAGCGGTGCCCAGCAGTGTGGCAAGGCTGTGCGGCCAGTTTCATACAATATTAATGAGAGGCTCATTCACCCAGCAAGACTTGCAAGTCCAGGAGGTCTAACTGGCAGTCACTGTCTGTCCTTATCATATCAACCTTCTGTACTGTACTTCTGTGTCACACTCAAGTGCGGATTTGGCCACACTGTTTTCTCAAGAAGCACCAGGGAGGATGTGTTTGTTTTAGATATATCTGTTTTTTTTTTGGTCTTCAGTCTGAAAACAAAAATAAAACGGCAATCAACAGCAATAAAGGTAAGCATTAATACTCCTAACAAATACTGAGATGTAAGTAAACTTTGTGTGGGGGAAAAAATTGGAGTGACTCTGAAAGTACCACAATTAGATCATGCTATTTTTTGTGTTTTGAATGGCAACAGCTGAGTAGTACAGCGAAGCTATATCCTTTTTATCACTGTCTGAGAGCCTTGTTTACCTGTTTTGACAGCTCATTCGGTGATCATATGAAACCCACTCAGTGACCCCGGCTTCCATGTCACGTCACAATAGCAACAATAAAAGCGAAAGCTCTGGAAAGTGGGGTTCCCTAGGTGTCCACAGAACAGGTACTGCAGAAGCAGCAGGAAAAAGAGAATGCCCCACTGTATTAGTTAAGCAAACAGTGGCGCAGAATACAGACACAAGGCCGACGCAATTATTCTTCTTCACTGTCGGGCCCATGGCACTGCGCACAACATTTCTCTAAAAACATATGGTCTCTACTTACTCTAGATTTTACCACAAAGCTGGAAATTTACAATAATATGATAATATTGATAAAATTGAAAAAAAAAGCAATTTAGTAATGATGTCGGCACACACTGAGGTGAATTTCATTATTTGCTTGTTTTAAATGTGCTTTTAATAATACATTTCTCCTAGTGTCAGAGTGCAAAATAAGTTAACACCTTACTCCCATTAATATAGTGGAAACTGAGACTTGAATGTCCTAACTGAAATACAAGAACAGGTAAAGGTTCAGTCCATGCTGAAAAGTAAAGAAAAGAAACACAACATTTCAGCTGTGGAGCCTTCTTCAAGTGTGAGGGTAGCTGAGAAATAACTTGAACTTTAAACTAATTCTTAGAAAATAATACAGTCGTGTTGGATAGGACACAATGGTGCAGATCGAATTTGTTCTAAATATATATTCTGTTGTTTTAAGAGGACCAAAGTACCAGGCAGCATTGATCTTCGGAGGTATCCAGGTCATCTGTGGAGTTTTAGCTTCTACTCACATCACAAACTCTCCAGCACTGCTTGAGAAAGAACTAAAGCATTCTGGTTGACAGGTCTGAGAAGCTAAGCAAGGCTGGAACAGATCAGTACTGGGATGGGAAACCTCCAGGGAAAATCGAGTCATTTCAGAGTTTAAGAAATGATCAATCCACCAGTGACCAGAGACACTCTGCTGCAGGGGGCCCCGTACTTGAGACCACACATTAACCTGAAGCCCCGATTGCTTGGTAATTAAAGATCTCATGGGCACTGTGGGTAATTGTGGGGGGGATAATTCTGGTGCCCTGGCAGATCTACCTAAAGACCCTCATTAATTCAGTTAGAGAAGCAATTTCTCACATCTCAACCTAACCTGTGGTAATGGGGCTACTAGGTGGGTGCATTACTTCAGTGGTGGATGAAGTAGGTCCCCTCCTACAGTATGTACAAAATGCTTTGGGATCTTTCTGGAAGAAAACACTATAGAAATCCATCAGTCCTTGTACTGTTAATTTCAAATAGAAAAAAAATGGTATTTTCTAGTGGGACTGACATACATAATAGGTTATAGCTTTAATAGACTAGGAAATTTTAAAAAAATCTGTCCTGGTTAAGTTTTGTCAAGTAATTATTTTTTCTGGGGGGGAACAGTGCTGCAAGGCTTCAGGAAATTGTGCATTTAAAATTGAATCAACAACAGGGACCCTAGCAGGAGAAACACTTCTACTCTGACAATTGAAGGAAGGAAGAGAGAATATTGGTAACAATGTTGAAATCAAATTATTCTATCACACAAGATGAAGAGTCTCATGTATCTACTATTGATTCATCTGCTTTGCTAAGAATGAAAACATCATTTTACATATTTTAATGTGATATTTATAAATACTGCTCTTACACATTAGGCAATTGAATTAATCTTTGTAGAAAAAAAAACTTTTTTCTCTCGTGTTATTAGCCAGGAATGGGCTGGGTGAATGACCCGAACTAAAAATCTCTAGAGATACATTATTCAGTTTTTAAGAATGATGTGTATTGTAACCCTGCTTGTATAACAATAGAAACAGACTTTGTATTTGACCTGTGCTCATTGTTTACCGTCTTCTAAGTGCTTGGGACAGTAGTATCCCTCGCCTTGCAAGACTGCTATTAACTGTAAACAATGAGTACTGACATTTGTTCTAAATGCCAGAAATCTGCGTCGTCATTTTCGAAAGTTCTCCTCATTCAGGAAAAAAAATCCCCATCTTTTTCCTCAGTTTAGCCGGATACAGCATATTTTAAATAAAACATTCAATGAATGAAATGTATCTTTAATCCGAACGACGCATCTTTAAGACTTGCCCACAGGTGTACATTACAGTACAGAACCCAGTAAGACAGCACTGGTGTCTGCATACAGGGAGGGGGGGGGGGGCTCAAATGTGAAATTAAGATGATGCGAGTGAGGACAACGCCCATGCAGTCGTAAAGAGATATGGTTAATTTCGCCGTTTGATTGTCCTACTGTGCCCTTTTGATTTCCAGTGAATAAACGTCCGACACAGTCTGCATTTCTTTTAACTATCTGTCCCCATCACCTTGTCCCTCACCCCTTCTCGTCCTAACACACCCACCTTTTATTTCTCAACACACGGTATAAAGCCTTCAGAATCTGTGTCGAACAATGCTGTGTACATTCGGCACCTTTCGTTGGAGCCTCGTTTTTGTTCGACAGTTGCCGTCACTGGCTCTCGGTACTTTCCGGGTCAACTGCCCGAAGCTCTTTTTTTTGTTCGCTCTACCGCTCCCCCCCTCCCCTCCGCCTCTCCCAGACTGGCTTTATGTCTGGCTGCTGTGCGGCTGCACTGCGCACGCGTCTTCGCCATGTTAGCAAGCCCTCCTCCCCCTTAGTCTCGTCATAGTCGAGAGAGAAACAGTGCAAGAGGGCTGCTGGTGAAGAGAATCGGTGAGTGAGGGGTGATACAGCAATCATTGGATAAAAACAGAAAGATGAAAGCATGGATTAAACAACTGCCGTGACAGACAAAAAGGGAAACCTCTGTCCAGCACATTTTTGCACCGGCTGCGGACTGTTTCGTTTCATTTTTTTTTAAAAAAAGGGCAGTGATGGAGGTGATTTCATGGTGCACTATTGGTAGATATACATTATTTTCTCATTGCCATACGGATTGAAATTAAGAATATAAATACGCACATATCTGAAAGGGCTGAGAGATGTTGAACTGCGCCTAACAACGTTCACAGCCTACCGCGTCTGGATAATATAACGTTGAGGGCGCACCGCCGACTTTGTTTAGCAGTATATCTCGCAGGGGAAATATTTAAATAAGGAAAAAAAAGTTGAATGGCGGCGGCTTGAATTTACATTAGAAACGGTTTGGGCATTTCTTCGGTTTCATTATTTTGCGTAGTAAAACCTACCGCCTGTTCAGTACGTATACACACACGTACTTGCTACCTGTATTTACAACACTGAAAGGAACTACCCCTGGAATTTTACAAAATGCATCATCCGGAATCTGCAGGAGATTCTGCTAGCACTAGGAAGATGGCGCACCCGGCAATATTTCCAAGAAGGGGCAGTAGCACCGGCAGCGGCAATATCTCGGCTTTGGCAGCGGCAGCAGGTTCCAGCATTAGCAATAATGTCATTCCGCCTGATGATTACCAATCGCCCTTGTTAATACAGCCTCCACCCCCGGCTGGGTCTTCCTCTCCGGTGCCCCAGCATCCTCCCCAGAGCCTTAATCTCCTGTCCCAGTCCCAGCTGCAGGCTCAGCCTCTCCAGTCGGCCGGGGCGCAGATGAAAAAGAAAAGTGGCTTCCAGATCACCAGTGTCACGCCGGCCCAGATCTCCGTCAGCACCAACAATAGCATTGCAGAGGACACCGAGAGCTACGATGACCTGGATGAGTCGCACACGGAGGACTTGTCGTCCTCGGAGATCCTGGACGTGTCCCTCTCGCGGGCCACGGACCTGGGGGGTCCCGAGAGGAGCTCGTCGGAGGAGACGCTGAACAACTTCCACGAGGCCGAGACCCCTGGGGCCGTCTCGCCCAACCAGCCTCACCTCCCCAGCGCCCCGCCGCACCACCAGCTCCTTTCCCAGCAGCAGCAGCAGCA